AATCTGACTTGAAATAATGCTTGCAACAACACAGAATTTATCACTTTTTTTAATTTGACCGACTTCAAAGAGATCTTTACCATAGCACATCTTTTGTACTAAATACGGTGTTTATTTTTGCTGTAACTTTCACGCGAGGCTGACGGTTTAAAATGTTGCCATGTTGCCAGATAATCCCTTCAGTCAAACAAACAGAGGAACACAAGTCCCAGCCGATCTAGCCAGGTGCCAGTTCCAGTACTAAACACGTGATTGGGTTTCTGCAACATTTTTAACTTTCAGAAAGTTCATGTCAGAAATTCAAAACCTGCGCATAGGAAAAGTTTCAATTTTATGCAGCACGAGGTGTATAAAAAATACAGCGAATGAAAACAACTTCGGTACGTAATACGAAACCACCTCCAGTTCCTGTTTCAAAACCTTTTCGCATTTTTATTTTGAATAATGAAAAATAAAACGTGTTGAAGATAAGTGCTCTCTTTAAAGTTCTATTTTTGTAACACGTTTTCTTTTCGCCGATTTCTCATTGACTTGACTGCAGAGAAAACTCTGAAGAGGTATCTGTTTGTGGTTATGTATGTGTTGCTAACTTTGTGAGATTCTGTATGTGTTGGTAGCTTTGTGAGGTATCTGTATGTGGTTATGTATGTGTTGGTAGCTTTGTGAGGTATCTGTATGTGGTGTTAGCTTTGTGAAGTATCTGTATGTGGTTTTGTGTGTGTGTTGCTAACTTTGTGAGATTATGTATGTGTTGCTAGCTTTGTGAGGTATCTTTATGTGGTGCTGTATATGCTGCTAACTTTAAGAGATACCTGTATGTGGTGCTGTATATGCTGCTAACTTTAAGAGATACCTGTATGTGGTGCTGTATATGCTGCTAACTTTAAGAGATACCTGTATGTGATGATGTTCGTGCTTAACTTGTAGACAGCTTGAGGCAATCAACTCACTTTGAAACTTTGAAAACCTTTATAGTTTATAAGATCACTAGGATGACGTCATGAAAATACAAATTTCAGACATAATTAAAATATAATTAAAACAAATTAAAACAAGATACCTAGTCCTTTATAACAATCGCCAATATTTAAACTGCAAATAATTTGCTAGCTAATGTGAATTTTACCCCCCCCCCCCCCCAACTTTTATTTCAAAATACTTTAGCGTCTTATATTTACAAACCAGTTTCAGACAAGTCTTTTTAGCGCAATTTCCATACTGGAATTGCGATTATTAATTCGTCATTTCTGGATGTGTGTCCGCAGCTTTACCGCAGCTTTAAGTCGTATCTCCTCCTCAAAGAAGCAATATCGAGGACTAGTTCCAAAAGCAAATATGTTAAGCAAGTTCCGAGGAGGATTGTGGGCCAAAAAAATTCCGGAATTTCTTCCTGGATTTCCCGGAAAAGCCAAAAAACCTCGAAAAAAATGCAGTTTTTGGCCCATATCTCGGCAACCAGACCACTTAGCGACTTGAAACATTTACCATTCGATTCCTGCCATAATTTAGAGCAATATTGCCGAAGAAAGTTTTCAAAAATATCCTTTCGTTCGGTCACAAGTTTTTTTTTAAAAATTACATTATACATAATACACTACAGTACTATATAGCAATATAGAGAGCGCGACAACTAAATACCCCCTACACGTCCGCAAATTTTTAAAAATCTCGTTAATAAATATTTTAAAACGTTTTTCTTAACTCAGCTTCGCGTTTGTTTGTTTGTTTGGTTGTTTGGATGTTTGTTGTTAAAATTGACATCGAAAATTAGCCCACTTCTGATTGCTCTAGAGACCTGAAATTTGGCATGCATGCTACTTTCGCCTAACAATTTCAGATGCAATCATAAAAACTAGCAATTAGTGACCGTAATTAGCTTAATTTAATTACGCCCCAAGGACCATAAAATTGAGGACATGATTTCTAAAGATACCGACAAGACTTGAGGCCTATTGACACAGTTACTTCGGCCCCAATCGATGTGAGCGCGCTGGCCGTGATCGTATAGTGGTTAGTACTTCGCGTTGTGGCCGCGACAACCCAGGTTCGAATCCTGGTCGCTCAAGATATTTAGTCCGTGTATTTATAAACACTTTTTTAAAAACCACGTTTTTCATGTGTAGCAACGGACTAAAAAGGAGAAAATAAAATACTTAAAAAAAACTTTTTAAAAAACCACGTTTTTTATGTGTAGCAACGGACTAAAAAGGAGAACGGACACGGTAACACATAGTTAACGGTGACACGGTTGGTACGCTGGGCATGCTAAAATACACATAAACACGTTTTTCCTTAACTCAGCTTCGCGTTTATTTGTTTGTTTATGGGAGATTTGATCACGTGATTCGTGAGTAGATCTCCACGCCAGCAACGTAAATTACACCCTTTCTCTGTTTAAAGCGTATCGGTCGCTCAAGATTTTTTTAGTCCGTGTATTTATAAACACTTAGTCAAGTCATACTTAATCAAGTCATTAGATATAGTAGCAAATAAACTATATAAAAAACTTTTTTAAAAACAACGTTTTTCTTGTGGACTAAAAAGTAGAAAATAAATTTACATACATTTGATGACAAAAAACGTGGGTCGGGCAGATGGGTCGGGAAATTTGATGGTGAACGTACCCACGTTTGTTGTCATCAAATGTATGTAAATTTATTTTCTACTTTTTAGTCCACAAGAAAAACGTGGTTTTTAAAAAAGTTTTTTTAAAGTATTTTATCTACTTTTTAGTCCACAAGAAAAACGTGGTTTTTTAAAAAGTTTTTTTTAAGTATTTTATTTATTTAACACGTTTTTCTTAACTCAGCTTCGCGTTTGTTGTTTGTTTGTTTGGATGTTTGTTGTTAAAATTGACATCGAAAATTAGCCCACTTCTGATTGCTCTAGAGATCTGAAATTTGGCATGTAGGCTACTTTCGCCTAACAATTTCAGATGCAATCATAAAAACTAGCAATTAGAGACCGTAATTAGCTTAATTTAATTACGCCCTAAGGACCATAACTATTTACATACATTTGATGACAAAAAACGTGGGTCGGGCAGATGGGTCGGGAAATTTGATGGTGAACGTACCCACGTTTTTTGTCATCAAATGTATGTAAATAGTTATTTTCTACTTTTTAGTCCACAAGAAAAACGTGGTTTTTTAAAAAGTTTTTTTAAAGTATTTTATTTCTATTTTGTTTTGAATTATTAAAACTACTTGTGTTGCATTATTTATTTGCTGAATATATGATTTATCTCGATTTAAAATTGTTATGGATAACATAAGGAAATTGCGCTTAAATTTTTTTGTCACTAGACTTTTTATTAACTTGTTTTTGTGTGTAACATTTTGACAAAACTTACGCGAAGCGCACATGTTGTCAGAAACAGCCGCTATGGAAGTGTGAGATCGGTTACATAAAATAACGGCAAAAATGTTCTTTAGAAGATTTACTTTTAAAACATCTCGAATATAATTTATGTACTTTAAATTTATCCATGGCATATACACTGCCCCCACCCATCACTGGGCATACACTGCCCCCACCCATTAGTTTCTGATTTATTGAAAATGAAGGGGTGCCTAGAGCGGGCTATCCACCACTGGTAAGGATAGGGCGCGCCCCAACTTGTCTCCCCCAAGTTCTCGCGGTCTACTGGTCGTATCACCTGCTTGTTTGACTCCCACGGATAGGCTCCAGGTTTAACGGCCCAGAACTGGCCTGTGATGGTTCAAATAAGACGTCGGGGGGGGGGGGGGTTGCACCGTTTGATCGAATCCATCCTTTATTTGACTTATATTCCCCCACCTGACTGATATTCCCCTACCTGACTGATATTCCCTACCTGACTGATATTCCCCTACCTGACTGATATTCCTCCCTCACCAAATGTTTGTTTTCCTCCTTGTAACTTTCCACTAGCTAGTACAGTTTTAGATTTTCATTTCGAGACTTTGAAAGAAATTATCTTACCTTTGCACACACCCGCCAAACGTCAGGTTCTACTGCAATAAGCTAGGCAATTTCAGGTAACTCTAGGGTTTATAGCAACAACAGCCACTGTAGCAACCAAACAGGTAGACCAAACTGATAGAATGGATTAGCACAAACCCCTGTGTGGCTACCATGTAGCACTGATCCAGATGTGGCTACCATTATGTGGCTAACATGTAGCACTGATCCAGATGTGGCTACCATGTAGCACTTATCCTCAAGTGACTACCATGTATCCCCGACCTCCTTGTGGCTAACATGTAGCAACGACCCATGTGTAGCTACCGTGTAGCACTGATCCAGATGTGGCTACCATTATGTGGCTAACATGTAGCACTGATCCAGATGTGGCTACCATGTAGCACTTATCCTCAAGTGACTACCATGTATCCCCGACCTCCTTGTGGCTAACATGTAGCAACGACCCATGTGTAGCTACCGTGTAGCACTGATCCAGATGTGGCTACCCTGTAGCACTGACCCCCGTTTTGTTACCATGTAGGACCGACACCTGTGTGGCTACCATGTAGCACCGACCCTTGTGGCTACCATGTAGCACCGACCCCCGTGTTGCTACCATGAAGCACCGACCCCCGTGTGGCTACCATGTAGCACCGGCCCCCGTGTGGCTACCATGTAGCACCGACCCCCGTGTGGCTACCATGTAGCACCGACCCTTGTGGCTACCACGTACCACTGACCCACGTGTTGCTACCATGTAGCACCGACCCCCTTGTAGCTACCATGTAGCACTGATCCAGATGTGGCTACCATGTAGCACTGATCCAGATGTGGCTACCCTGTAGCACTGACCCCCGTTTTGTTACCATGTATCACAGACCCCCGTGTGGCTACCATGTAGCACTGACCCCCGTGTGGCTACCATGTAGCACTGATCCCCGCCTGCCTCCCAGCCTGGAGCGAGGTAACGACGCTCACGAGCGCGCGGGCCGTGTCTGCACGCGCCGTGCTCGCGCGTATCTCCATTCATGAGGGTTGTAAGAGCCGAAGAATTCCTCCCCACCGGCCCTGAAAACATGTTGTGGACGGTGACAGGGGAATGTGAAATTAATTTCACTCAAGGATCCCAGGACAGTAGCTGGTGCAGGCTTTACCACACACTTGCAGTTTTTACTTTCTAAAGTGTTCGCCGCTTTTCCTTGGATTGCTTTTTTAAAATAGTGCTATTTATAGCACTAGTTTGTTTACGTTGTGAGTTCGTTTAGTAATTTGAGGGATTTTTAGGTAATTATTTTATTTCCCTTATTACGTTAAGTTTAACGTCCAGAGCGATAAAAAGGTGAAAGTTTAATGTTTTGTGTTGCACCGAAAAGTCATGATCTAGGTCTAGGTGTAGCGTTTGTTCAGGATCTAGCTGTAAACACGTTCTTCTGTCCAATGTTCTAGTTAAGTTCTATTTTTGTTCAATGTTCTAGTTAATTTCTTTTTTCTCTGTCTAAAGTTTCTAGTCGTGACCGAGCTGTTTTGTCGTGTAATCTTAGGTTCGTGTCGATGGCTCTAGTTGAGGTCAAGTATTATTTAGATTTCAGGTAAAAGTTTGTTGAAGTTCTCAAAAACTGTGCTAAAATACGGAAAGCGTGTTCATCACTTTCCTTGGCTGATTTTGTTAAAGCAACCCTAAATGTCAAACCCCGTCCGTCAGTTTTTGGCTATATAACCCTGTCCGTCAGTTTTTGGCTATATAACCCCGTCAGTTTTTGGCTATATAACCCTAAAAAAGTAGGGATGTAAAGCTGTTGGGCTCAGTCATTTCTCGACAGCCCTGTTGTAAACTAGACAGCCGTATTATAAATCAGACAGTACTGTCGTGAACAGCCATTGATTAGAGGATTAAGAAAGTGGCGCCACCTATTTATATACGCTCAAGAGCACCCACTGCATGCGGTGCTGACTGCACCAATTTGACCTGTTGCTTAGTTCGCCTTCAACATTTTTTTTGTTTAGATTTCAAGAAGATAATTTTTTTTAAAGAACGTCATTTAGGCCAGCATTTGCGCTGATATTGTCGCTGTGTTGTAAGGGGCGTACAACTTTCGTGTCTTACTACATGCTGGTGTATCTTCAGCTTCAATTCTCCATCTTTCATTCCCTGCCGCCTTAAACCAATCGGCTTGGCTGTGTTTGTCTGTTTGTTTGTCTGTTTGTCTGAGTCGGGCCCCGTAGTGTACTCTACATGAATTGATCTCATTATCCCAAGGGGCAATGTTGACTTAATGAGTTATCCCCCATCAATGAGTTATCCCCTATCAATGGACGCTTGCTAAAGATCAAACGCGACAGTGCCATTCACTTTTAATGGGGATATTTGCTTGAAGTGGATGGTTTTACTTTTATTTGGATGAGCGGATTAGCTTTTAGGGGTAGGTGCTTGGTCTGTAATGGAGACAATACATTTTCTTGATGTCTAAGCTCCCCCCCCCCCCACCCATTCACCAATCAAACGCGAACTTAAAGACTTGATGTTTTGACACCGCCAGCGTTTTGTTAGTTACTTTTGTTATCTAAGCGCCAATCACTGTTTTCAAAATATGACGCCGACCCCCCCCCCCCCACCCAACACCCCCCCCCCCCCTTCAACCGTCTTCTGCGTCTGTCGGTGGCCTCTAGAGTTTATGAGCTGATAGCGCGGAGGAATTTGAAAGTGTGAATCGTCGTGTCAGTGTCTGGTAACTAGGTCAGGTGAGTACTGATAAGTCCAGGGAATGGGCGGGGTAGGGTGGCTTTCAAAATATGACATCATCACACGGGAGGGTGGGGGATGGGAGGGTGGGGTAGATAGCATGACTTGGGGAAAAAGATGAGTGCCGTCATTGTTTTTTTTAATGTGTTAAGTCTGTGACTCCGGGGGTGGGGGAGTGGACAGAGATGTGGGGGAGTTGTGGGAGGTGTGTGGGAGAAAGATGGGTGTTTCCGGTGGAAAGGTGTGAGGGTGTGGAGGTGTGTTTTGGGGTGTGGAAGTCTGTTTGTTGAATGTCTAAGTATGTTTATCAGGTGTGTGTGTGTGTGTGTTTTAAGTGTGTGTGTGTGTGTTGGTTCAGTAGGTTTGTGTATCATCTGTGTTTTGGGTATGACCCAAATGGACTAACTAAAGATGGAGATGTTTTGTCTCTGAGCTAGAATAGAGCAGATCTTCGTTCTTAATTGTGGACATTTCTTCTTCGTTCTTGATTGTAAAGTTGGATGGGATTCACTCCAACACAATCACGTATTACGTATCAACTTGTTATTTGCCATATGGACCATTGACTCCGATTTGAGCCTGCTTTTCTTTCTGGATTTGCCTCCATAGCATTTGTTCAATTTTTAAAATTCTGGAGTTATCTCTCCTAGATTGGTTGCTGTCTCCAGCTATCGAGCCTCATCTGCCCTTGGGTTCGAACTCGGGACTTTTACCGACTCGACCAGGCTGACCCCCACAGCAGGACATAAAACCTCGTGGCTTAAATCACAATAGGATCAAATACCGAAGTAATTACTCGGCGCCCTTTCAATGTTGAGGGGTGGGGGGGGGGGGGTGGAACTCTCCCATGGTCTCTGTCTGGTGAACTCTCTTAATCAGCGGCTTGATGAAGAGCCTAATTGCTTTAATTTAATATACAATTTCAGCAGGCAGAGGATGTATAAACATGATCAAAAGCGAATCTTATCAAGAAAATGGTTTTAGAGGCATGTGTTGTTGCATAAAAATTTGCAGCATCCGCCCGTCTCACACTGGGTAACTTCAGCTAGTAGATAAGAGACATTCATGGCCGTGTGTGGTAGTACTGGTGTGGTGGGTGTGGTTGGTGTGGCATGTGGGGTTGATGTGTGTGTGTGTGTTGGGGGGGTTGGTGTGGATATGTGGGGTTGGTGTGTGTGTGGAGGGGGGGGGGGTCGTGTGAATATGTGGGGTTGGTGTGGATGTGGGATTGGTGTGTGTGTTGGGGTTGGTTTGGATATGTGGGGTTGGTGTGGATATGTCGGGTTGGTGTGGATATGTGGGGTTGGTGTGGGTGTGTGGGTTTAGTGTGGGAATGGATATTTGTGGCTTGTGGACTATTGTCTGTGTGGTCTGAGTGGTCTAGTTGATAGTCGTGAAGCAAGCGGTCTAACAGAGTATGTCGGTAATTTGTTAGTCGGTCTTTTGGCTACATGTTGTGTGTTTAGTCTAACCATACACATGACTTGTGTGAACCAATGAGTTACGTCATGTTCTACCAATGAGTTACGTCATGTTCTACCAATGAGTTACGTCATGTTCTACCAATGAGTTACGTCATGTTCTACCAATGAGTTACGTCATGTTCTACCAATGAGTTACGTCATGTTCTACCAATGAGTTACGTCATGTTCTACCAATGAGTTACGTCATGTTCTACCAATGAGTTACGTCATGTTCTACCAATGAGTTACGTCATGAATTCCTTATCAACTTGTCTCAGCAACTTGACACTTACGCCATAGAAACAGTCCCCCCACCCCCCGTGTTCTATTATATGTACCTCCTCTCCATTAGTGCCTAAAGCTCAACATTGTAAAGAGTGCCCCCCCCCCGTGTTCTATGAACCCCCGGCTCCTTTAGTACCCAGGGGTGAGCACTGAATGCAGTAAAGCACGTGCAGTGAGTATTTTCTCGTGTAGTGACGGGGATCAATGCAAATTATCTTGCTGGTTTTTTCTTTAGTAACATAAAAATTGTATGTCAGTTGGTACAGGTTTATCGACATTTGGTTGTGTGAGTGTGTGTGTGTGAGTGTGTGTGTGTGTGTGTGAGTGTGTGAGTGTGTGTGAGTGTGTGAGTGTGCGTGTGTGTGTGAGTGTGTGTTTGTGTGAGTGTGTGAGTGTGCGTGTGTGTGTGTGTGTGGGGGGGGGGGGTAAAGCAAACATCACCGAGCTGTTTACCTAAGACATTATAAAACGTCGCCAGGTCTGCCCCAATCGTCGCCAGGTCTGCCCCAATAGTCGATACCTGCGTGGTATCGTCAGCGTAAGAACCACAACCCAAACAATGTTTTATCAACTCACTTGCCTCCGTGTTTGTTCTCAGTACTTCATACACCCCCCCCCCACCACCCGACCCCCAGCGGCGATAGAAAATGGTGGTAGCCAGATGGACAGTCGATAAAAGAACTTCACCGATCGTTGTGATTAGATCGATTCATGATTAATTATCGGCCAGTGATTTCCGACTTAGTGCGAGGGTCGTTGAGAGACCAACACTTGGTGTAACTTCAAAAATACACAACGGTCGTGCAACATCTGTTGGGTTTTTACACAAACACGACGGTCGACCAACTTTTGTTGTAACATCATTTTCATTAACAGAGAACTAAATTATTGCTCAACAAACAAACAACTAAATTGTAGCACAACAAACTAACAACTAAATTGTAGCACAACAGACAACTAAATTATTGCTCAACAAGCAAACAACTAAATTGTAGCACAACAAACAGACAACTAAATTGTAGCTCAACAAACAACTAAATTAATGCACAACAAACAGACAACTAAATTTTTGCACAAACGACTAAATTATTGCTCAACAAACTTAAAAGACGACTACATTATTTTATCCAGTCTACACGACAAATGCTACATACAGAAGCAAATCTTCAAAATTATTGAATAGATATAAAATAATTTCGTGTCCTGAAGTTTGGATATGTTCCGTCTTTTTACGTCATTCCATATTTGTTCCAGTGACAGTTTTTGTGGAACCTAATTACATCATCACGGTGATAGCATTTCCGCTTCTGGTGATGAGAAAATAAAATAATGATAAAATCTTTCCAACTGAAAAGTGTATCATAATCAAGACCTCTCACACGACACGAAAACATTCTAGCAAACAACGGGTGGGGGATGGGGGGGGGGGGGGGGGGAGAGATAATCTACTTCCGTTCTGGAACAGCAGCCGACAGTATTTTAAAATAAATGCAGTAAACACGTCACCTTCTGCTTGTTTCATATTATCGCTCGACAGTTTTGTAGGGGGTGGGGGGGGGGGGGGGGGGAGGAAGAGAAACTTCAAGTTATTTTATTGTTGAAAGTTTAAAGGCGGTAAGTTTTTAGGAGTTTGTGTGTGGGGGTGTGTGGGGATGAAAGGTTGGACATCTTTGCATGGTGCGCACGATGTGGGGTGTGGGGTAGCTTGTTTGTGCACAGAAAGGGGGTGCGCGGTACTTACGATGTGTGTGGTAGTTGGTGTGCACGATGTGGGTATGTGGTAGTTGGTGCGGACGATGGGGGTATGTGGTAGATGGTGCGCACGATGTGGGTATGTGGTAGATGGTGCGCACGATGCGGATGTAGATACGGAAAGACTTGACAAACATACGTCACGATATGTGATGTAATTGTTCTATTATTAGAAACTTTAAAGCAGGATCAAACATGTTTGATCAACCACGTTCACGAGCGTGGGATATTTTTAGATTATCGTGAAAAATCCGATTATGAGCATCTCATTCATCATGGTCAACTAATGACCATGACATGACATGAGTGTCAAGGTTATCAGTTGAGTACACACGCCGTTTTCTCCAGGACACATCCCCACCCTCATCAGATGGATCAAACATCCCCACCCTCATCAGATAGACCAAACATCCCCACCCCATTTGAGATAGACCACGGATATCATCAGATGTTGGTCGTAAGACCGATAGTCTTATACATTTGGTTTGTTTCACTCAACACTCAATACTTTCCGTTCCACATTCTGCCCGTCGGTTTCCGATTTAATCATTACACATTCCCACAACATCTATTACACATCCCACATCTACCATTACACACCCCCACACTTCCATTACACCCAAACACTAACATTACATACCATTACACCAACAACACTATCATTACACACCCCCACACTAACATTACACACCCCCACACTACGATTACACCCCCACATCTATCATTACACACCCCTACAACTACCATTACACCCCACACTTACCATTACACACCCCCACACTACCACTACACTCACACACTTATCATTACACACCCCCACACTACGATTACACCCCCACATCTACCATTACGCACCCCTAAAACTACCATTACACCCCACACTTACCATTACACACCCTCACACTACCATTACACCCCCCACACACTACCATTACCCCCCCCACACTAACAAGGTCTACAGCCAGCACACGCCAGTTACTCACATGTAACACACACAGGTAAAATCTCGTTTCAGATTTTTTTTTTGCTCCAAGTTTTTACATTTAATATTTATATTTCAAGGTTTGAAGTTGCCGCAGTTGGGGGGAATTCTTGGGGGGGGAGAGGGGGGGGGGTTAAGTACGGTGCGATGTGGAGAAGTGTGGTAACAGAATCAGGTTCAGGTGTGTTGTGTGTGGACAGGTGTGTGCTAAAATAGGTGTCTTGTAAAGGTGGTTGGTGACGGTTGGCGTTATAGGTGTGTGGTGATGGTGTGTGCTGGGTAGGCATTATAGGTGTGTGGTGATGGTGTGTGCTGGGTAGGCGTTATAGGTGTGTGGTGATGGTGTGTGCTGGGTAGGCATTATAGGTGTGTGGTGATGGTGTGTGCTGGGTAGGCGTTATAGGTGTGTGGTGATGGTGTGTACTAAAGCTGTGGGGTTAAGTTAGAAGGATCTACCTATGCGGCTAGTTTTGGTTCATGACGCGCGTGATTAAGGTGTTATAATTAATTACGTTTGCTAGTCAATTAAAGGCTCGTGTGTGTAAGCTGTGCTACCAGAGATCCATGACGTCATCCACGCAGATCTGTAACGTCATCACAGATCCATGACGTCACCCCCCACGTCACTCGCAGATCTATGACTTCAGGTCTCGACGATCTTAGACGACCAGTGACGTCACGTCCTGTAGTACCCTGAGACTCATGCCCCGGAGGGCAGATGAAAATGCTCATTAGCCAGATAAATTTCACCGGGGTTGGTGAAAAATGTTCCACTTCCGGTGTACAGGGGTGTCAAGGTTTGTCTAAGAAAACTTTTTTCTTGCCGAGTTTTTGGACGTTTAGCTCAAGTGGTTATGTTCCTGTACTATCGTCGACGTTTCGCTTGTGTGTTTTGGCTGTTTCTTAATGGAAGGTTTCAAGCTGGTCTATATTGGCCAGCGATTCGCTTGACTGGTTATACACCAACTAAGCTACATCTTAATTACTGCATTTGTTTAACTATTACAGTGCTAATGTCAGTGATAATGTCAGTACTAATGTCAGTACTAATGTCAGTGATAATGTCAGTGCTAATGCCAGGTCTAATGTCAGTACTAATGTCAGTACTAATGTCAGTACTAATGTCAGTGATAATGTCAGTGCTAATGTCAGTGCTGATGTCAGCCCGTCATCAGGCTAGATTTTAGTGTGGTAGGAGAATAATATTTTTTGACCTTGACCCCACCCAACATGTACAAGGTCACGAACTACCCACAAATTGTATCATGACTTAACGTCTCTCACCCCAGAGTTCACACCCCTGTATCTACATGTCCCTGTGTTTGAAGAATTTCAAGTTTGGTTTTTATTGAATTTTTTGGAAATAATATGAGATCTTCAGAAGTTAAAATATTTAAATCATTAAAAAAAAATCTGAAAGTTGCCCTCAAGTTTTAAAATATCACAGATTATAAACGAATATAGTTTTTGTTTGTCAACATATTATAACATATTATAACATATTATAAGCTATTAAAATCTTTGTCAACATATTATAGAAGACTAATCTTACTCTTACTGTCAACATAGTATAAACGACTATAATCGACATTATAAAAAACTAGAAATATCTAAAGGTATGATCCAACTCTCGGATAGTTTAGCCTCATTTCGTCTTGTCTTCGCGCAAAGAAACTGGAATATATCTACACCTACCTAGCTCCGTCTTGGGGAGTGAACGAAGAAGCTCGACTCTACTTTATCTACACCTACCTAGCTCCGTCTTGAGGAATGAACGGCGAAGCTTGAATCTAACCTACACTTACCTTCCTAGAAACCCAACGCCTCGCCATTTCAAATGTCATTTTCTTCTGGCTCGTTAGGATTAAGTTGATCTGTTCTCTAATTACCATCGAAAGATCACAGCACCGACAGAGTTGCCACATCTGAAAATTGTCTGGCAAGTCTGGTGCTATTAGGTGCTTTTAGACGTAGCACTAAACAGTTGTCATATCATGAGCTTAGTTACACAATTTTTGTGCTATTAGGTGCTATTAGGCCAAACTGACGGATATTTTTTGTTTTAAAACACGTTTGTTTCGATGTGATGTGTGATTCAAGTTTTTAAAAACTCATAATTGTTAGTTTTAGGGTGTGTTTATAGTTTGATTATAGTTTGATGATTTCTTGTTAGTTTTAGGGTGTGTTTATAGTTTGATAATTTCTTGTTAGTGTAAGGGTGTGTTTATGGTTTGATGATTTATTGATAGTTCTAAGGTATGTTTATAGTTTGATAATTTCTTGTTAGTTCTAAGGTGTGTTTATAGTTTGATGATTTCTTGTTAGTTTTAGGGTGTGTTTATAGTTTGATGATTTCTTGTTAGTTTTAGGGTGTGTTTATAGTTTGATGATTTCTTGTTAGTTCTAAGGTGTGTTTATAGTTTGATGATTTCTTGTTAGTTTTAGGGTGTGTTTATAGTTTGATGATTTCTTGTTAGTTCTAAGGTGTGTTTATAGTTTGATGATTTCTTGTTAGTTCTAAGGTGTGTTTATAGTTTGATGATTTCTTGTTAGTTTTAGGGTGTGTTTATAGTTTGATGATTTCTTGTTAGTTCTAAGGTGTGTTTATAGTTTGATGATTTCTTGTTAGTTTTAGGGTGTGTTTATAGTTTGATGATTTCTTGTTAGTTCTAAGGTGTGTTTATAGTTTGATGATTTCTTGTTAGTTCTAAGGTGTGTTTATAGTTTGATGATTTCTTGTTAGTTTTAGGGTGTGTTTATAGTTTGATGATTTCTTGTTAGTTTTAGGGTGTGTTTATAGTTTGATGATTTCTTGTTAGTTCTAAGGTGTGTTTATAGTTTGATGATTTCTTGTTAGTTTTAGGGTGTGTTTATAGTTTGATGATTTCTTGTTAGTTCTAAGGTGTGTTTATAGTTTGATGATTTCTTGTTTGGGCAGTTGGTTTACAGTGCCGTACTGCAGACAAATTGTCTGGGTTTCAGTGAAATAGTCAGACATTTTGTCTGCCCAGACATTGAGTCTGCCATGGATGAAACAATTCCCTGCCCGATCACATAAACACGTGACACTGTATCGAGCGAGCCAATGGAAACATAGATACGGGTCCTGATTGGAGAAAGGTCAACCTGGAAAGGTCAAACTGCTTCCTTTGTTGATTGGCCAATGGATTGATTAGATAAGTCGCAGAGACATGCATTGAAGGTGGGGCCAGCCACCGGCTAGATTGTTCCAGAATGTGCGGCCCTCTGACGTCAGGGTGATAACACTGGCTGCCCCAGGTCGGTCCCCGCCATTTTGGCCGGCCAGGTGTCGCCCGCAGCAGCTGTGGTTTACGTAACCATGGTAATGGGCACCTTACGGGATCTGCAGCTCGCGCTTCAGGAGAAGATTGAAGAGCTGCGACAACGGGACGAGCTCATTGATGAGCTGGAGGGGGAGCTGGATGAAAAGGACACGCTCATTCAGGTACAGGAGGGGTGTCAGGGTACTGGGAGAAAAGCTGCATAGGATCAATCATATATACATATATATATATATATATATATATATATATATATATATATATATATATATATATATATATATATATATATATATATATATATATATATATATATATATATATATATATTTATATATATATATATATATATATATATATAATCATGTTAACTATCTTTAAGGATTATACTTAGACCAAGGGGATAGACTAAGAGGTTAGAGTTTTGAGTGACAGATTTAAAATAAAATAATATCCATACAGGTCCCATGGTGTGAAAGAGAATCAAACCCGAGACGACGGTGAGACGAAGATATAAAAATCCTCATTTACATGTACAATATAATTAATGTTAGCTATTAATTAAGTTTAAATACGTTAAAACGAGCAATTCTTTACACAATTTTGACTAGCAGCAGTACAAAATAAATGTCAGTTTTTATTCAAGTATTTAAAAAGTTTGTAATTAATGACCGCACTAAAAATCTGACCTAGCTAAATAAAGTCGGACATTAACAAAAACACGCCCACAGAACCCTCGCATCCTCAGGCAATCGCTTCCCCAGCACTCATGGCAATCATTATAAAATTTTATGCCCCCCCCCCCCCCCCACGGGCCACACTCCCAGGTAAGACCAACAGGTACAGGTGAGGGTCTCGCCACGAGATCCACGAACCCCTGCTGAACCCCCGCTGAACCCCCGCTGCCGCAACAATAAACCAGGAAATTGAGCTGACCACTAACATCAGTGCCAGTGTCTAGAACCGGCGCGGTGCCAAGTTTCTCACAGGGGCGTGGGAAGACGAGACGACGACATTGGAGACCACGCCCTACCCCCCGCCACCCCCGCCCTCTGTCTATCAAAGATAATTTTGTTTGAACTATAAAAAAAATGCCGTAGACATCATAAAAATAGCCTGCGTTAAAAACTACAATATTTTTTTTTTTAAAGCCGAGACGAAAGATTTCTTGACATTGACTGGAGATTGTGGACTGGAGAGTTTTCCTTTTGTTTGTTACCTGGGACACTACCCCCCCCCCCACACATTCCTAGAACGTGGGCACCTGACAATACCGACCCCTGCAATTCAAATCGATTTTTTTGTCAATGACATTTTTTGTGTGGTTAAAATGACAAATGAGCGTAATATGACATGCGCGACGTAGAGCGGTGAAATTAATGCGCGTCACACGACAAGCACGTTGTAATATGAATTCTTAAGTACGTGTGTGTGTGTGTGTGTGTGTGTGTGTGGTGTCCCGACTTGGGTTTAGCTCTAGCTATTTCTAGGGTGGTTGGGTTGTTGCTCTAGCTATACCTAGGGTGGTTGGGTTGTTGCTCTAGCTATATCTAGGGTGGTTGGGTTGTAGCTCTAGCTATATCTAGGGTGGTTGGGTTGTTGCTCTAGCTATACCTAGGGTGGTTGGGTTGTAGCTCTAGCTATATCTAGGGTGGTTGGGTTGTTGCTCTAGCTATATCTAGGGTGGTTGGGTTGTTGCTCTAGCTATACCTAGGGTGGTTGGGTTGTTGCTCTAGCTATATCTAGGGTGGTTGGGTTGTAGCTCTAGCTATATCTAGGGTGGTTGGGTTGTTGCTCTAGCTATATCTAGGGTGGTTGGGTTGTAGCTCTAGCTATACCTAGGGTGGTTGGGTTGTTGCTCTAGCTATATCTAGGGTGGTTGGGTTGTAGCTCTAGCTATACCTAGGGTGGTTGGGTTGTAGCTCTAGCTATATCTAGGGTGGTTGGGTTGTAGCTCTAGCTATACCTAGGGTGGTTGGGTTGTAGCTCTAGCTATACCTAGGGTGGTTGGGTTGTAGCTCTAGCTATATCTAGGGTGGTTGGGTTGTAGCTCTAGCTATACCTAGGGTGGTTGGGTTGTAGCTCTAGCTATATCTAGGGTGGTTGGGTTGTAGCTCTAGCTATACCTAGGGTGGTTGGGTTGTATCTCTAGCTATATCTAGGGTGGTTGGGTTGTAGCTCTAGCTATACCTAGGGTGGTTGGGTTGTAGCTCTAGCTATATCTAGGGTGGTTGGGTTGTATCTCTAGCTATATCTAGGGTGGTTGGGTTGTAGCTCTAGCTATATCTAGGGTGGTTGGGTTGTAGCTCTAGCGATATCTAGGGTGGTTGGGTTGTAGCTTTAGCTATACCTAGGGTGGTTGGGTTGTAGATCTAGCTATATCTAGGGTGGTTGGGTTGTAGCTCTAGCTATATCTAGGGTGGTTGGGTTGTAGCTCTAGCTATATCTAGGGTGGTTGGGTTGTAGCTCTAGCTATATCTAGGGTGGTTGGGTTGTAGCTTTAGCTATACCTAGGGTGGTTGGGTTGTAGATCTAGCTATATCTAGGGTGGTTGGGTTGTAGCTTTAGCTATATCTAGGGTGGTTGGGTTGTAGCTTTAGCTATATCTAGGGTGGTTGGATTGTAGATTTAGCTATATCTAGGGTGGTTGGGTTTAGCTCTAGCTATATCTAGGGTGGTTGGGTTCAGGTGAGTTGGTCGGGCTAAGACAAAAGCTCCCGGGTGTCATGTTTCCAGTTGCCATGGCAACGTGTTAGCGCCATCTTTATCTCCCGATGTCCCTCACCAGCGCCTCCAGCGCGAGCTCGACAAGTACAGGTCCGTCCTGCCGTCCACCAGCAGCCCACTCTTCCACCGCAAGACGCCCCACTCGGGCGCCGGGCCGCCACACGCAAGCCCCCATGCGCTACACACCACTGGGGTACGCCCTCATGCACCATTGACTAACGGTGGAGTGGCAGGCGGTGGAGAGGGCGGTGGATCCGCCACCGGTGGATTTGGAGTACTGAAAGAAGAACGGACAAAACGGGTTGCTATTTCTGCGGAGCCGACAACCTTGAACAGTGAGCAGTTGCTGTTGTCACAGAGAAATAAGGTGTACCCTAAGACTTACGCGTGAGTACTTGTTTCACTACATTGGGGTGGGAGATAAAGTATACACAAGACTTAAGAGTATTTGTTTCATTTGATTGTGTGTTAAATTATTTTGTCTTGGAGGGATAGGCTTATGACAGTGTATTTACAATGTGCGTATGTGTATGTGTGTATGTATGTGTGTATGTGTGTGTGTATGTGGGTATGTATAAATCTATATAAATTTATGAACAAGCGATTGATCTAATCAGTTACCACACCTTTGCCGCCCCACCCCCACCCAAATTAGATGTCAAAACATTTTACTCTATGACGCTATGTGGTAGCTACAGTAATATTCCAGTAATATTACAGTAATGTTACTGTAGTATTACTGTAATGTATAGTTTAAAGGCAAAACTATACTTGGCTAACCAATGTTGAGTTCTATAAAATAATTTGGATGCTTACTGTAACTAACCAATGTTGAGTTCTATAAAGTAATTTGGATGCTTACTGTAACTAGACAATGTTGAGTTCTATAAAATAATTTGGATGCTTACTGTAACTTGACAATGTTGAGTTCTATAAAGTAATTTGGATGCTTACTGTAACTAGACAATGTTGAGTTCTATAAAGTAATTTGGATGCTTACTGTAACTAGACATTGTTGAGTTCTATAAAGTAATTTGGATGCTTACTGTAACTAGACAATGTTGAGTTCTATAAAATAATTTGGATGCTTACTGTAACTAGACAATGTTGAGTTCTATAAAATAATTTGGATGCTTACTGTAACTAGACAATGTTGAGTTCTATAAAATAATTTGGATGCTTACTGTAACTAGACAATGTTGAGTTCTATAAAATAATTTGGATGCTTACTGTAACTAGACAATGTTGAGTTCTATAAAATAATTTGGATGCTTACTGTAACTAGACAATGTTGAGTTCTATAAAGTAATTTGGATGCTTACTGTAACTAGACAATGTTGAGTTCTATAAAATAATTTGGATGCTTACTGTAACTAGACAATGTTGAGTTCTATAAAATAATTTGGATGCTTACTGTAACTAGACAATGTTGAGTTCTATAAAGTAATTTGGATGCTTACTGTAGCTAGACAATGTTGAGTTCTATAAAATAATTTGGATGCTTACTGTAACTAGACAATGTTGAGTTCTATAAAATAATTTGGATGCTTACTGTAACTAGACAATGTTGAGTTCTATAAAGTAATTTGGATGCTTACTGTAACTAGACATTGTTGAGTTCTATAAAATAATTTGGATGCTTACTGTAACTAGACAATGTTGAGTTCTATAAAATAATTTGGATGCTTACTGTAACTTGACAATGTTGAGTTCTATAAAGTAATTTGGATGCTTACTGTAACTAGACAATGTTGAGTTCTATAAAGTAATTTGGATGCTTACTGTAACTAGACATTGTTGAGTTCTATAAAGTAATTTGGATGCTTACTGTAACTAGACAATGTTGAGTTCTATAAAATAATTTGGATGCTTACTGTAACTAGACAATGTTGAGTTCTATAAAGTAATTTGGATGCTTACTGTAACTAGACAATGTTGAGTTCTATAAAATAATTTGGATGCTTACTGTAACTAGACAATGTTGAGTTCTATAAAATAATTTGGATGCTTACTGTAACTAGACAATGTTGAGTTCTATAAAATAATTTGGATGCTTACTGTAACTAGACAATGTTGAGTTCTATAAAATAATTTGGATGTTTACTGTAACTAGACAATGTTGAGTTCTATAAAATAATTTGGATGCTTACTGTAACTAGACAATGTTGAGTTCTATAAAATAATTTGGATGCTTACTGTAACTAGACAATGTTGAGTTCTATAAAATAATTTGGATGTTTACTGTAACTAGACAATGTTGAGTTCTATAAAATAATTTGGATGCTTACTGTAACTAGACAATGTTGAGTTCTATAAAATAATTTGGATGTTTACTGTAACTAGACAATGTTGAGTTCTATAAAATAATTTGGATGCTTACTGTAACTAGACAATGTTGAGTTCTATAAAATAATTTGGATGTTTACTGTAACTAGACAATGTTGAGTTCTATAAAATAATTTAGATGCTTACTGTAACTAGACAATGTTGAGTTCTATAAAATAATTTGGATGCTTACTGTAACTAGACAAAACTTGTTCATCACCTGTCCGTCACGTCAAACAAATTAAATAATTAAAATGACGTCATGCGATGATTTCCTCTTGTGCATTAAACAAACTGTGCCATTATCTTTAGCTTGACTATAACTGTAACCCAACATATTCTGACCAATGAAATTCGATATCTGTCATATCATCAAATCACGTGCCGAGTGAGTAGATCTGGGTCATACAGGTATGCTCATATTTTTATTGACTCCCCTCCCACCCCCACCTCACCCCAGCTCTCATCCCACCCCCACCCCTTTTCTACACTGAGATAAAATCAGCTGGAGGTAACAGAATTATAAGTTCTGCCCTCAAAGTTTGTAAAAACTTAAGTCGTGTTTCCTCAATGTACGTCATTCAATCGACCCCCCCCCCCCCACTTAAAAAAAACACCCCTGTATTTTTTATTTATCAAAACATTTCTCCAAACATATCTTACTTATCAAAAACAATATTAAAAATACCGAAACGGATAAGAGGTTGGAAAAAAAAAACAACAGACGCAGCTAAGTAAATTGAACAAGATTGACTAGAAAAAAATGCGCGCACAATTTTGGTATTTTCGGTAATTCCCGGTCCCTAGCATGCGATTTAGCCATCGGCAGGAACGTTTAGCTGTAGCATTGTGGTTAGCTAGACTTACTAGTAGTCTGACATTGTGAAACCTTCTGTTGACATTTAATTGAATGTCATCTGACATTGATTATGTACTGTTTTGGAAATGGAGAGCATGTTTTGTTAACGTCGGCAGATTTGACAAAGTTGAAGTGGTTTCGTCATGTAAGAATATAACATCATGGCCTTACTTCCCCCTCCCCCCACCCACCAGAATCCAGTGTTTCTTCCAGACTTTTTTCTCCGGGTGGGGGGGGGGGGCACTTGAAATCTTCGGGGGGGGGGGGGCGGTAAACTTTCTTCGGGGGGGGGGGGGCAGACACTGTTAAAAAAATATATTTTCTATATAAATTATATAAATTTCATTTCGTTCGTGGGGGCGGTAAAAATTTTTCGGGGGGGGGGGTGGGGGCTTAGCCCCCCCGAAGAGATGCCTGGCAGAAACTCTGCTAGAACCCATTGCTGTAAGGGCTGAACGTATTAGACATAAACGATGCTATGATTATTTTTGCAGTTTCCTGTTTTTTAATTAATTAGAAATAAAGATAATAAACATTTAAAATTTAAAAGTTTAAAGGAACTGACGGAATAAAAGATGGGTAAAGATTACGTCCATAGCTGCTCCTGTTGTCATGGAATGTTAGCTTATCTCCCCTCTTATTTCCCCAGTTGTCTACCCCTGGTTTGTTTATGACTTGTGAAGTTTTGTTTACTAACGGCCTGTGTGGCTGGGTAGTCGACACTTTGTTTTCCCCGGGTTTAGGAAGAACTGGGCCAGAGGTAAACATTTAAATACAAGAGCTCTGGTGTCGCGGTAGTCTCGAGAAATCTCGTGGTGTAAGTCTCGAGAAATCTCGCTTTGTAAGTCTCGAGAAATTTCGCTTTGTAAGTTTATTTTCGTCCCTCAGGGTCATCAGACGACGAAATTTTGGGTCAAAGGTCATCATTAAACGTTTAGTTGAACTAATAAATAAGGGGGAAAAACTCACCTGAACCCGACATTTTTTCTCCGCAACATTCACCTGTGTTTAAAGTGAGCGGTTCTGTAGGTGTGTAGCGAGTGACCTCCCTTGTCCCCTCCTTCACAACCCCGTCCTACTGTTGTAAAGGGAAATAAACTGATAAACAGGACGTTACAAGAAACGTGTGATGATGGCAGCGTACAGCTAGATACACCTGGCCTGGTGGGGTAGGGGGTAACCCAACTAGATTGAGAACCGTCGTTGTAAGTTATTTTTGCTGGCTCAAGTGAAAAAATGGCGTGAGTTTTGTTTTCCTGGCGTGTTGTTTATTTGGGTGCGGACTTTGTGGGAACACATTTGTTACTGTCAGTGGGAGAGGGTGTGGGGGACTAGGGGTGTGGGGGACTAGGGGTGTGGGGGACTAGCGGTGTGGGGGACTAGGGACGGGCAGTCGAGATGGAATGGGACGGAGAGTGAGCAAACGCTAGAGACTTACTTGCAAGTGATAGTTTGTCCAATCGATCAAGTACTAAAACAAATTTGGCTACTGGAGTCCGCTGCCTTCAAGTTGTAGTTTTTAAAATATAAAAAGTTAAAGATGTCGGCCAGTTAAATAAAACCACAGTGATAAATTACATCGATAGACCTCTGATATACAGGAGACCATTGATTCAATTATCTATGGGCTCAATATTTCAATGTTGTAGGCCCAAACTTTCATTAATCTATGGGTCTAATATTCGATAAGTTGTGACCCTCTTTCCTATAGACTTAATGCATAATGTAAAAAAAACAACAACAACTAAAGACACCATTTCGGACTATTTTTCGTAGCCTCGACATGCGAAGCTGCCTTTCCTTGCTCTAACGTAAATCAGGCACCCATTAAAGTACTTCCCCCCTACCTTTTTTTTTATTTCGACGCTTAGTATAATTCGAACTATTACATACTTGTTTGAAAAAATGTTTCCTTATCCCAGCTAACTACGTATCAACCCGGTGTGGGGTAGTTTGTCCTTTAATAAAATCAGTTATCAATAAATCTTATTAATTTTGTCATCACTGTCTCCCCCTCACGGCTTACCTACTGCCATTAATCAACTGGAGTTGATGCAGATTTCATGAAGGCTACAAAATTCATCTTACATCGTGTTGGTTCCCCCCACTCCCACCCCACAGGCAGTGCTACAAATCATGTCACGTGTGATGACGCGTGAAGAATGCCTCGAGACGTCACGTGATTTGACGTCTGCTGTACTTCAGCG